ATGTACTTGGTCTATTTTATTAGAATGCTAATGAATATCTATTAAGCAGGTAGAGATAATAGACTCAGAACTACTTACTCCTACTTTCGTCCATTGAGACGAACGAGTATAGTAGCAAACTGGATCCTATTTCTAAGAACAAATAGGCCAGTGAAGTCCAATTCATAAAGTCACGATGAGTTCATATTTATATTTCGTTTTCAAGTAGATGAGTGAAAATGATAGATCAGAATATTATTATTCGGAGTTATGTAGATTAAACAGTACTTTTTTTTTGCTTTAAAGATTTCAAGAAAACAAATTGAATGAAACAAGATCTATATTAAGCACAAAGAAAATCGAACTTCTCATATAACAGCCTACGTTTACTTTGGGTTCAATTTCTTTTGAGCAAAAATGTTCTAGAATCTTATAAGCATTTTTGATAATGTTTTAGAATCTTATAAGCATTATTTCTAAAAGATAAAGAAAATCACATACACAATATTTGAATTCTAGATACAAGATTTACATATTCTGTGAATGAATATAACTACTATCATGCTTTGTAATCTAAGAAATAGGAGAAAGCATACCCGTCACATTAACGAGTTGTATCATTTCTTTTATGCGATATTTAAGTGAGCAAACACTACATCCATCCTAAATAGTATTGCGAGATTACTGTTTACTACTGACTAAACAAGTTGCCCTTCTTATCCACAGTCATGACAAAAGATAATTCATGTAGGCATTTTATCAAATACTTATCAGTCAATACAGACAGTTGCACAACCGGGGCATACATTTTCTTAATGACATGACTTTACAAATACTAGTAAGATAAAAATCCTAATATAGGATTTCTAGGAAGAACAGAATGGCGACTCAAAACTAGGCAACAAAAAGCATATTAACCATCTATTTTTAACAAAACCAAAAAGCTAACAACTTTCACAGAATGTACCATAACATAAAAGTGTTTCAAATTTTAGAGTCGAAATAAACAAAGAGAAGAAAAGTTAATGACCTTCTTCGGGGCAATGAACTAAGAGCGTCGTCGATCAACTATCGCACTTCGACCTCAAACTCACTACCTCGGCAAAGCAAAAGACAAGTGCCTCTGCTTTGAGATTGCAAACCAAATAGAGAAAGAGTTGGTTGAGCTATGATTTAAAAAAAAAAGTTAGTGAGTTTCGGAGGAGGAGGCGGCTCCCACCATTTTTGTGGGTTAAAGGTGCCGCTCCTTTTTCAAGCCCAAACGCTGGTATTTATAGAGGAAATTCTAGGGTTTTAATTGTTAAACGGGATTACGAATTTGAAATCGGTCAAAGAGAAACGTTTGAAATAGAAGCCAAAATCAAGAAACATTAGCCGTTTGTATCAGCATATCTCTGAATAGGAGATTTGAGAGGGGGTTTCACATGATTTTGCTTCAGAAATATTAAAAGTATTTGGCTTCTTGTGTTTCCTAAAGCTCCTTGCAGATGAGAGAGATAATAACCTCTATGAAAAAGGCTGAAACCGCAGCAACCTTTGCATGGAAATGGCGGAACCAATCTAATTTGAGAAAATAGAAGTCTGGAACCTTATCAAAAAGGGTAGATGCCCAGCTGTAAAGAGATTTTAGGAACCCTAGTATTGTATCTCTATAATAGTGGGTTAATTAGTTTGGATTGTTGGATAGGATCGATTCTGAATAGGTGTATGTGGGCTACTAAGAGAACTTGGGCTAACTTAAATTTTGGCCGAGTGGGTTTGGTCTTGGGGAAATAAAGGTCTTTTGGGCTGACCTTAAATGGTTCTCTTAATTTGGACTTGAAATGGTCCTTTCTTCTTGCACTTCTTCCAAAGCTTCTAAGTTTGTTCAAATACTTGATCTTTAAAACAAATTATATAGTAACAATAATAGTATTAATAATAATATTTAATAATTAATAAGAATAACAATAATACTAATAATATTATTATTTAGTAGCAATAGTAGTGGTAGTGATAGTAGTAGTAATAGTAGTAGTAATAATAATAATAATAATAATAATAATAATAATAATAATAATAATAATAATGTTACTAATAGTAATAGTAACAAATGTAACAATAATAGTAGTAAAAGTAAAGTATATAAATAACTTAAAAGTAGTAAAAGTAAAGTATATAAATAACTTAAAAGCTCAAGAAAATTGATTGGAAGAAAGGATGGACAAAATTGGATGTCAACAGTTGCAAACACTGATTCGTGCCTATATGACTTAGACTCTTCTTGAGAAAGAGAGACTAAGTCTAGGAAATTCAGGCTAACAAGGAATTGGGGTGCATTCAAGAGATTGATAGCCCCAATTAAAGGGTTAAACCTAGAGATAGTAATACCCGACTTGAGCTAATTTTGCTTGCATTGTTTGAACATCCAATTGGACTTGAGAAAGTCAATTAGGGCAAAGTCACTCAAACTACCGAGAGGTATAGAGTGAGTAATTATGTGCAACGGTTATATCATGATCCCAATTATAACAATCTTGTCCTAACTTTTAGACCCCATTAGATACTCGCCTAGGTGTAAGTGACTTCCCTAGTGCTTTTTATTAATTGAGAAAACCTTTACAAATATATTATACTTAGATTACTTTCAGCATTCATTAGCATAAAAGTAGAATAGAAACAAAACAAAGCATGGTTAGAAGTGCAATTAAGAACAACACGCATAGCTAGATTTGATAAAAACCCAATTCCCAACCAATATTAGCTCCTTATGGATATCGATCCTGACCTTTCGGGTAAAAGCTGCATCGACCACTCTTTGCCATTTTATAGTGGTATAGGGTTGGAGCCGATCAATAGCAAGGTCAGAGCTCTATTGCAGGAGAGTGGGGCAAAGGATGCTGAGATCGCAAGGCTAATGACTCGTTTGGCAGAGGTAGAATCTGAGAGAGATGCTCTCAGAACTGAGCTCACAAAGGAAAAGGAGAAGACTGATGGAATTCTTCAAGACATGCTGCACCTTCTCCAAGCCAAAACCCAAACCTCCAGTTCTTCCAAGCCTTAATTTCCTAAGCCATGCCTAGACCTTTCAGTGACCCAGATTAGGGATGTTTCTTTTTGTTGCTCATGTTTTAACTGTTTTTTTTTTTTGTGGATTGTGGCAGAATCATATTCTCTATCAATGAAGTTGCTGCTTTTGCTCTTATTGACTATTTATATTGCCTTGATAGTTTGAATGTGTAGTTGATTACTGATGATTAATCCATGAATGCATTTGCAGTTGCCCCAGTGACCATGAGTAATTTTTAAAATCTGGGAATTACACATTTTTTATGAAACTTTTCGATGATGCCAAAAGGGGAAAAAGAAATTGTGCTTTATATTCTGAACAGTGATGTTTATAACCTAATGAACCTGATCCTTGATGATAAGTGAAAAAATATTTCTAACATTGCATTGATGTTGAGCTGAGTTCTAGCAGGGCTTAAGTGTATGAAATGTATGAAAAGCACGGAGTTTGTCATCATCAAAAAGGGGAAATTTGTTGGCCCAAGTAAAGGTTAGTTTTGAAGACTGACAAAGGAACTCAGACATGAACTAGGTCCATCCCAGTGGAGCACAGATGCGGATAGACTTGAGCATGTGGGATGCACGTGAAGGAGATAAACTTAACTTGACAGCTTTGATATCTCCTGATCCTGATCGAAAAGGTTGCATAATTGATAAAGAAAAGGACTCCTTACTCAAAGAGAACACGGTTTAAGAAAGGGAAGGAGTTGGAGGTTGAGATCAACTAGAACTCTTCCACCAAGGAAGAGTAGCATTAGAATTTTAGTCAATCTCTATTTACTAACTCTATAAATATCAGTGTTGTTCTCTTTTGCAAGTAACGCACACAAGCAGAAGTTAAACGTGAATTGAGAGCAAAATAGCAAGGCAATTTTGTAAGCAGTTCGTGTGTGATTCAAGTGTGCAAACCTGAAGCTACATGAACCGGATAAAAGAACCAGATTCAAGTGTCTGTCTTTTATTCTAGTTCAATTATAGTAGGCGGTGTTATATTGTACGTTTCAACTTTATCTAGAGGCAATTGTAATAGGTACTCAAAGTCTTCAAGTTAGAGTTAACTTGAAGTTGTCGCAACCATTAGAGGATGTGTGCTGCAACAGGATTAGAGTTAGTCCTAGGTTTACAAAAGAGTTTTTGTAAATGCAGTTTTTGGCTCAGTGATTTTAGTGGAGAGTTTGGGAAAATCCTACTGGAAAGTAGGTCGTGGGTTTTTCACCTTTTGAGCTAGGTGTTTTCCACGTAAAATATTTGTGTTCTTTACTTTCCGCATTTACTATTTCTGCAATAGTAGGTTAAGGAACAATAGAAGAACCAGGTCCTTCCATAATTAGTTTAAGCGAAAAATTGATCCCCACACAAATCTTCCCACTTGTGTGGTATTAAAGTATAAAACATCAAAAGCCACTTATGATCCACTTATACTTATATGCTTTGAAGTTGTGTCCTCGGATGTTGGACGAGGATCCTTGCCCTGTTCATTACGATTAGGAATGTCCCTATTGAAGATTATTGGAACTAGAATAAGGAGACGTCAATGTTGTGGGAATATAATAGTAATATTTATATTTATAGTCATATTATTATCTGTGGATATTGTTGATGATAGGAGTTGCTTTGTGGTGGAGAGGGCGGTGAAAGTGAAAGTTAGTAGTAGAATAACTACAACTAGTACTGTTATTTTGAGAAGAGAAGAGGGAGCTAAAGCCATTGTTTGTTGCACAAACAGATAGAAAGAAGCAGAGGAAAAAAACTGTTGTACTTTTACTACTAGAATCGTATTATTATATGTATATATATAGAGGAGGAGACATGACAACAATAGGATTTTTTATTGTTTGTGTTATATTAGGATTTGGTTGTTCAATTCCCTTTTCCTTTCGTTTTCGGCTTCCTATTGGCACTAAAATTAGGACTAATATGGTAATTTTAATACCACAAACTTTACAAGTACAAAGAACTTGAAACAAGAGATAATTAATGCAGTCCAAATATATAAGAATATTTAATTCAAGTTCTGTTGGAAAAAGAATTTCACGGAACAATTTTCAACAAATCCAAGGGAATTAGAAACAAATCAAAATTCCCCCACATCCCTCTTTCATTGTAGAAAAATACAACATTAATGATAATACTTGTTTTTTAAAGGAACAAAAAAATTGTATGCAGTATATGTTGTAGTATTAATTTTTCAAATGTATTAAGTAAATTAGAAAGAAACAGGGGATGGAGCTGGAGCATCAGCTACATCTTCTAGAGCAGCTCCATTGCTCGATAGCTCAATCATAGCACGGTGTGGGTTGCTCCTCTGCTTGTTGCATAAATCTGGCAAATACACTCCTGCAAAATTCAAACATACACAATAACAGCACCGTAGGAAAAAAGAATCCACCCATAAGGGTGTTTCTAACCGTGAGGGAGACAGAATTTTCAATGAGGGATGTTAAATTATATAAAAGTAAATATACGAAAAAATCTAGAAACAATTAAGGGGTGTCGAATTTGTCGCGGGTCTACCGGAACAGCCTCTCTACCTCTACAAGGTAGGGGTAATGCATATACACTACCCTCCCCAAACCCCACTTGAAGGATTACACTGAGTTTTTTGTTATTGTTATTATTGTATATGAAAAATTCAAGGAGAGTCCGCATATGCATATAAAAAATATTACCTACCTACATAGTGTATTTTCCCGTTAAGGGATGTTAGTTGACACCCCTTGCTATAAGATGGCCACTGGCTTTTAAGGCCCATTAGGGTAAAGCCTAGTGCTTATAGTTATTACTTTAACCCTAGTTGGTCCCATATAAGTACACATACGGTGTATGCTGAACATACTATTTTCCTACTCTCTTCTCTGTCGATATTCGATAACATGAGGATATAGATTGTTGAATAGAGTTGATCCAATACATCGCCGGTAACTTCATGCAGCCCAGTTAAAAATTGTCACGTCATTAAAGGAAAGACTCACCAATTCTGCCGTTAGTCGTGGGGGTATTTTTGTTAATAGAATTAACATCGTGTGTTTATTTGGACGGATAGATGGACGGGAATATTTATAAACCATTTAGCAAACAATAGGGGTAGTTTAGGCCCTTTTTCTATTCTAATAATTACTAAACCAGAAATACCAATGCAGGGGATCAAGAAATAACTCAGCTATGTGGTGCCCATATATCACAGAAAATAAAGGAAGAGAAAATGCTAATGTTGTTACCTTCTCCAGCAGACAAGTTGAAGTAAAGGTCAACAATGTTAGCACATTTTTGGTAACAAGCAGGGGAGCAAAGCTTAAAGGTGAATTGAGAATCAAGCAAAGCATCAGAAGAAATCCCAACAGAGTTCCTGTCAACTCCACAAGCATCAACACATTCATCTGTCTCAATATGTTCCTTCATGTTTCCAACAACAAACTCAGATGTCTTGCATTGATACTCCACCTTCCCATCTTCCCCTGCTGAATTCTCCAACAAACACCTCTTCCCTGATGTCGCGATCGCGAAACCACACACATTTGTTGGCAAATCCTCACAAATGAAATTCCCTGACATTATTAAACACACGAACAAAGCAAATGATCAAAATCTACTATTTATGATACATATACCTGTTACATTTATTCCACACGTTGTGGACTGGACACTGGCCGATCCAGAGATTCTAAGAAGGGGATTTTTAAGAATTGTACAAGAATATATGTCACCCATATGATAAAACTTTTGACTTAAAGTAATTCTTGAACCATCTTTGTCATTACACAAGGAGATTTCCTTAACTCGAGGGGATACAACAATTTATATATGTACAAAACAATTTGTTATAACCCTATTTATGCAGTACTATAATTTTTCGACGAATGAGATTTAATTAAAACCCTCCAGATCATGTCGCTCCGCCCCTGATCTTGAGATGAAAAATTACTCTGGATATTGCAAATGAAAACATGCATTTGACATATTCAAAGAAAACAAAAGCATGCAAAGGAAGAAGATTAGATATACGATACGTACCCAAAGTGCCTTGGAGAAAAAGGGCGCTAGCAAAGAAAATAACCATGGAATATTTCAACGTGGAAGCCATTTCTATTTTATTTCCTTTCCCTTTTGGGAGATTTCCCTTTTTTTTCTTTTGGCTATTTGTTTGTTGACGAACTCGAGGAAAAGATTAATGGAGTTAGGAAATATATATGGGGTTTTTGAGATGAAGGTGAATGGAGGGGTTTCTTGAATTATATAGGGAAGATAGGAGGAGGAAGAGGAGAAAAATGCGGTATGAGATTAGAATATTTGGTTAAATTCCTAGTTGTTTGTTTATTTTATATTTTTTTTATTTTGTGAATATTATTGATCTTCTTTTATTTTTTAATTTTCAGCTTATAAGGTATATAGGATGTGTTTGGTACGAAGAAAAATATCTTTCATGGAAAATGTTTTCCTAGAAAATGTTTTCATGGAAAATGAGTAGTTTTGTCACTTATTTTCCCTAGTTTGGTGGGTGAGTGGATAACTTTTTCCAGAAAATATTTTCTAGTATTTGGTTAGAGAATAGAAAATATTTTTTTTATGGTACTCTCTCACCCCCCCCCCCCCGAAGTCCACATGTTTCCATGCTCCTCCCCTTCCCCATCCCAAAATGAAAAGAAAATACTCTTTGTTGAAATGAAAAAAAAAAAAAAAAAACTATCTATAACATAAAAAAGAAAGTATTATTAATGATATTTTTATTTAGGTTGGGGATGGGGTGGGGCGGGGGTTGGGCGGGGGTGAAGTAGGGTGGGCGGGGCTGTGGTCGGTAGGTGGGGTGGGGGTTGTGGGGGTGGGTTGGTGAAGATGGGGAAGGTTGAGTTTTGAAAAATATTTTTCCTTCTCTTGACAAGGGAAACATTTTCTTCCAATTGGAGAAAAATGAGTTCATGAGAAAAATATTTTTCAAAATATTTAAGCCAACCAAACATGAATAATTAAAAAATATTTTTCGAAAACTATTTTACTTCGTACCAAACACACCCATACTCTGCTAAATTTTGACGAATTCTTCGAATTTGGTGTGCACGAATAGAAGGGAAGGATCTTTTGTAGAAGTTAGTGGAGCCCACGCGTTTGCTTCTATCATTTATTTGATTTAGTTTTATTTCTTTATCACTAAAGAATTAATTGTTTCGTTGAATTTCTTGTTGTTTGTAGTAAGTTTACTTCTTGCCTTCTAAGTTCTAGTTGACGCCTAACAAGTACGTGTTTTTTGTCTGCTAATTGAAGTTTCAAACTCTAGAAGTTGTCAATGAAAATCATATAACAGATTCTCATAGTTTCCTAATCTATATTTCAATTAAATTGTTAGTTTCCCACTAAAAGGTTAACGAAATTTCCATATATTTACTATAAACCAAATACTCCCTCTGGTCACTTTTATTTGGAACATTTTGACTTTTTACGCCCCTTAAGAAATAATAGATGAAGTGTATAATTTATCATGATACTAATATTAATTGATGCATATTTTATTGGATTTGAGAAAATGATTTGAAATGAGTAATAAATATTGTGGGTATAATATGAAAAAAATTTACTTCTCTTGATATGCGCAAAGTGACAAGTAAAAATAAAAATCTATTTTTAGTATACATGCCAAGTAAAATTGGCAAAAGTGTACGGAGGGAGTACTCTTTACGTGCATGCTTCAATTAGAAACTTCAATCAAGAGTAGATTTTGATAAAAGAGCTTGTCTAGTTATGATTTTGGGGTTGATTAAAAACTAAACGTATTACATTTACTACTATTAGAACGTGAAAGTGTAATTGAACTTTTTCTCCTACAATTAATATGCATAATTAGAGCGAATTTTCTCTCCTACAATTAATATGCTTATAGTACATGTTGAACTGAGTTGTCAACAATTAATGGACACAATTTATGCACCTAGCTAGTTTGGTTAACCATAAGCAATCTTAAGCCCCGGCAGATTTAGGGCTCATTTGGTACGAGGGATAAGGAATAATGAATATCCGAATTAAAGTTGAGATGAGTTTATCTTATATTTGGTTAGGATATAATTGCGGTATAACTAATCCTGAGATAAGTTATCCCAGGATGGTAGTACGAGGGATAAGGAATAATTAATCTACGGATTAAATTTGAAATGAGTTTATCTTATATTTGTTTAGAATATAACTATGGTATAACTAATCACGAGATTAGTTATCCCGGGATTGTAGTGTTATCTTTATCCCTATAATAGAGTGTGATAACAATCCCGGAATAATTAATCTTGGGATAACTTGTTTTCCAACCAAACGACTCCTAAGAGTACTAAATGGGAGCTCAACTGGATCCATTCGGTTAAGTTCAAAAACTATGAATTTGTAAGTAAAATATAGTAAATTATGATGTAATCGCATAATTCTAAATAATCTCTCAGTTTAATAGAAAGAGTCTGAATTCATTAACTATAATATTCTGATGTAAGTGTATTGTATTGGACAAAATTTGGACTGGACTTAATAACTGTAAATGGACGTGGTCGAGGATCAAGCCGACCACGGCACAAGGGCGAGGAGTCGTCTTGAGAGGGTTAGTGCCGAGGTCAAGCAAAAAGTGTGCGGAAGCAACGGTAGAATAAGTCTAGAATAGAAAGAAAGAATATTCCATTGGAATTCTTTCTGTTGTACTTTTTAGAGTTTCTTAGGAATATCCCCTATAAATAGGAAGAGATAAAGGACAAAAGGGGGATATTCAATTTTCTCATAAGAGCACATTGTAAAGGGTTGACTATAAAGAATATACAAAAGCTTGTCTTGTCCACTAATTACATTGTTCGATATACGCTTTTTATTCACAAGATCCAAAGATTCCTTGTCCATCTTCATTTTCTATTACTCCACGTTGCTGTCAGGAAGGAGAATCATCCAAGTCATCTAACATTTGGGTGATAAATTCCTTCTTATTACATTTATTGCCATTATCTACATTTATTGCATGCTTTTATTACTACATTCATTGACAATCATTGAGCATTTGTAGTTGGCATACAACATTTTCGGATTCAGCCCTACATCGTCAATACATCTAAACGTTAGATCTAGTGGTTATTATATTTAACTAGGATTCACCCTCTATTTTCTCATTAATTCATTTTAAGAAAAGGCTTAGCACTTTTTTGGTAAAACAATTTGGCACCGTCTGTGGGGAGTTTTTTGTTCAAATTTTAGTTTTTTCTAGATCAAAAAAAAAATATATGACAACAACCATCTTTTTCTCGTTTGCACAAACTAACAATGGCAGGAAAGGGAGATGAAAGACTGAAAGCAGTAGTAGACGTCACTGCCAACCTCTTGAACACCATCAACGAGGTTGACAGAGAAGACGAGGAGAATGTGACCCGAGCGCTACACCCAGGCGGAGCGACTCACCTCCCCCTCATGGTAGTGTAACCGCTTCACACGAAAGGGGAGCCTCCACGTCCACAACTGAGGAAGCGCCACCAGCAGTGAAAAAACTACTGGAGGCATGGTTGACAAGTACTCTAAACAACATACTCGACAAACCCGTTCAAGGGGCGAGTAGAAGCGCTGTACAAGCGGATACCGCAGCAACCACCAACGAGCAACCTGCTCCCGCTTCTCTCCCAACAGGTAACACTCACACCGCTATTGATGCAGGCAATGACGCACTTACGGCCATTCTAAAGAAAATGGAAGAAATGGAGAACGAGAATAAAGCGCTCTGCGACCAAATGAGGGAGCATCAAGAAAGGGTTGATAAGATACCGGGCGCCTCGAAACTGCTACTAAAACGAGACGTCGGTAGGTTCGTCGAACAACCGTACAACGAGGATGCAGCCCCACACGCCATACCTAAGACCTTCAAAATGCCACCATATTTGAAGATATACGACAGCACAACAGACCCCGAAGATCACATCATTCATTACGTCACAGTAGTAAAAGGCAACGACCTCTCAAAAGAGCAGGTACCATCAGTGTTGCCGAAGAAGTTCGGTGAAACCCTAACAGGGGGCTTAACATGGTACTCACAATTACCAGCACATTCAATAACAATGTTCGAGGAAATGACCGACAAGTTTGTCACCGCCCACGCCGGGGCTAGGAAGGCGGAGGCCAGGGTGAATGACATATTCGCCGTCAGATAATCGCCTGGCGAGGAACTCAGGGACTTCCTCGCCCGGTTCAACGGAGTAAGAATGAGCTTGCCAAATGTATCAGAAGGGATGGCAGTGGTAGCTTTCCAAAATGGGTTGAACAGGAATGGGTCGAGGGCAACCAGAAAGTTGTTGAGCAGACTCATGAAATACCCCCCACCACTTGGGAAGAAATTCACAATGCCTATTGTGCCGAGGTAAGAGCAGACGAGGATGCCTCAATGGTCCAACCCAACAGCTAACATCAGTCCAAACGGAATCGAGGAAAGACCGCCATAATGACGGCCGGAAAGACCATTCAGGTCCACGCCTCAACCAGGACAGGCACCAACCATATCTCAGAACAGGCATCCCACCCTCTCCTCGCCATACAGAAGGTCCATCCAGGCCACATACAGGGACTCGGCGAAACGAAAGAGGTATGCCTCCACTCTTATCTGCTCACAATTTTTGTGTTTCCCCTTCAAAAATAGTGTACGCACTAGAGAAGCTCGGCCCGAAGGTGAAGTGGCCGCAAAAGATGAAGTCCGACCCAAGTACTAGAAAATCGGACGCCCTCTGTGAGTTTCATCAGAAGCGGGGTCACAAAACCGAAGACTGCATAGCCCTACAGCAAGAAGTAGTGAACATGCTCCACCAAGGACACCTAAGGGAGCTGATGAGCGACCGAGGAAGAGCCAACTTAGGCCGCGGACGAGAACAACACCAAGGCCCTCCAAAGCCACCCTCCCCCGCCCGCACCATCCAAATGATCAACGGTGGAGGCAACGAAGCAGCAATCAATCACGTGAAGTTCACCACCACACATAAACAAAAGCGGTCGATCACCCATGAACGGTATGATGACCTCGAAGACAGTATCATCTTCGATAAGTCAGATACCCACGGTTTGACCTTTCCTCACTTTGATGCCCTTGTCATTACTTTATGTATTTCAGACACTGATGTAAAAAGAATAATGGTACACGACGGGAGCGGCGCATGTATTATTCACCCTCGAGTTCTCGCACAAATGAGACTCGAGGACAAGATAGTACCACGCTGCATAACGCTAACAGG